TATATATATATATATATATATATAATTTTCCAAGGAGGATATAACATTATCATGATATTAAAATGACTTTAAAACAGCTCCAAAATGATTATTAAAAGTCACTTTTTTTTAATTAGACACAATTTTATTTTAACATCATTTTGACGTTATTACCCGTTGTTTTGCTTGAGTTTATATGTTAGTAACATGACTGATTGGCTTCTTTTGCATGCGACGTGAAGATTTACCTCAGTGATTACAAACTGCATTTTGAATGTCTCTATTCAATTTCCTCATAATACATACCTCATAATAAAAGATTTCACCGGCGGTCAGTCAGTTGTCATCACCCAGCGATTGCGGATCTCTTTGGCGATTACACAGTTCGAGGTAAAGATTTGGTAAGATTATTCTCTCCTTTCACGTACACGACATGTAGAAGCCAATAAGTCAATGTACTATACTAATATACAAACTCATTTATACATAAGCAATGATTGAGTTTGCGATTTTCCGATATTTAATAAGGTATTTGTATTCAGTACGGTGTGTATTATATCCGTTCTATAAGTGCTAAATTCTTTTTTTAAATACCCTCCATAAAATCTCACTTTAAAATTAGATACCTTTATAGAATGTTTAATAGTTATGGGCGTATAGTAGTATGGTAAACAACCACAAATATTCAAAGTAGCATTGATAGAGCAGCTGGTAAAGCAGTTGGAATATCGATACGTAGGAAAATATTTCAATTTAGCTTTAACATCTGCGCAATTCGGAGTCATTTTACCAGTATGAGAATCTCGATAATATCCGGAAAGTTTGCTATTGACAACTGGAGTTACGGAGATCTATATGGTATCAAAATTAGGTATTATGCAAAGTACTTAGGAAAGGTTTGTGACCAAATATTTTTTTATAATATCATCTAAAAGAATCTAAACTGTATTTTAACTAAAAACCTTTATACATAAAATATTTACCTGTAATTCTTGCTCTGCTTGTAGAATGTGTCTAGGAGCCATGGTGGCGACATATTCCAGAGGATGGTGAGGAAACATCTGTCTCATAGAAAAAGACAAATATACAATTAATGCTATTTTGAATACTTATTTGAAGAAATGTGGGAGACAAATATCTTTGACCGATATTCGTGAATATAATTCTCTTCTTTAAAACATAAAAAATAAAATTATTCATGTTTAGAAACATTATTATATTTGTTAATTGTGTACCACAAGACCGACGGAATTTGTTGAATATTTGATGTATTTTTGTTCTGGGTCATCATCCTCAAATAAAAAATTTCGGTGTAGAACAACTTTAAGACCGGATCTTGGTCCGTAATAAAGAGTTGTACGAAGTTTGTTGAAGTTTCTGGTCCTATAGTTTAATTAGAATTAAATTGTAAGGCAATTGTGTCATAATAACAACTAATATGTAATAATGCAGATGTAATTACCTGCCGGTTTTTATAAAATCTTCGAGAAGATAGTTAAAGGAGCAACATATACCTGTGAAAGTATAAGACACTTTAAACAGTTCGCTGCAATTTCTAACATGGGTTTCCCAAAAACAGGTTTCGAACAAGTCTTCGCAAGGTCGTAAAGCTTTTATTAAATCTATCAGTGTCATGTTGTTTGTCTCCAACAGTAATTTCATCTCGTCCACATGACTCTGGCCACCAGGAGCGTTTTCATTCGCAAACGCGGGACCATATCTAATCGTAAGAGAAATTTTGTATTTTATTATTATTAATCTTTAATACACAGATAATTTTCCGGTCTTTTACTACACGCGATGAGTCATTCGTTTCAGGTTTAATTTTCATCACTTTTATACAAAAAATTATTAAGTGATTCTTACATATATTTTAGATATCTTTAGAAAGTATTTGCAAAATTGTACAATATATTAAACAAAATTATATATGCATCACGAAAGTTGTTTCTTTGCAGGATTTCTAAATTGAGATTTTTTTATATACTTTTACAAACACTATTAATAAAAAATACTCGTACCTAATCAAGAACTTTGCTGTACTGTTAGTCATATTGCGTGGTATAATTATACTTTCAAACACTTTTCTGCGTCTTGAAGACATGGGTGGTATTAATGGGCAGATAGTAAGAGCTGGGAAGGGGGCCTCATATATTGACCTGTAAAAAGTCTTAACGACGCTGCGGACTGGATTAGAGCTGTAACGTATCCAGAATTGCTGGAGCATCATAGTTAAAACTAAAACAACGATGTCACTTGACATTTAACGAATTTCAACATTAAGCACTAAACACTGTACATTAAGTTAATTAACTTGAATTAAATTACTATTTACTCTTTGGCTACTATGCGTAATCATTATAGTGCTTTCTCTTTAAACTAAACCTTTTGGGACAAAACGTATGTAACGCATTACCGTTACTATTACTTTCTTGTTACTTTTTTGTAATATCAAAATAAGTTTAAGTACATTTTAAATTTATATTTAATAATAATTATTATAAAACTATATTGAAACTTTTGAAACTAGTTTGTATATATAGAGCAAGTTTTTTCTTTGTATTACTTTTATAGAAAGTTCAATTTATTGTTGTTAAACATTAATTATTAATTATAATTATAAAGATTAAAGAGTATATTCCAATATTCACTGTTAGTATTAAAAATTTATAGTATATATGTAATTTAAATTATAGATTTTCAATACTGATAGAGGCTATCGGAATGTAGTCTAAGAAACATTGGATATTTTTCAAAAAATAGATTAAAAATATATATTATAAAAAATATAATAAAAGTAACGATAAAAGTAACGGCAAATTCGTTACCGTTACTATAAAAAAGTAACGACGTTACCATTATCGTTACAAATAGAAAAAGATAACGATAATGATTTACTTTCCAACCTGTATTATACAAAACATATACTAACTTTTTTCTGTGCTTGTCGCTATCAAGTAGGATTGCCTTTAATTATTTTTGATTTACGTTTATTTCTTAAAAAAAAAATTAAAAAACGTTAGCGTTTTTTAAATAGATTTTGCGACCTGTGCATGTAGCAATTAATATAATTTCGCGTATCAGTTCAATCATAGCCAAAAGTTTAAAAGCGCAGTACATAATCATATTACATCTGTGTATAATTATGCACATTTGTTACCTACACACAAAACTGCAGATCATAATTGCGGTCCAAAAGAGCTTTCCGATAATGCCGGTTTTTAATTGCAAATGGTTGAAATACTTCATTCCGTGCACTGAACAGTCATGCAGATATTCATGTAAAATCTCTTGGCCAATTTCTTTTTTACTCTTTTTTACTCTTACCGGCCGATTATTGTACAATTTGTCATTAGCGTATTCGATCAATTCTCTTTTCATTTTTCTCGAGACTTCTATATGATTCACTGTAATCTTTTTCACTGCATGTTGCTTATGTTGCGAAGTATTTAACATGACGCAGACTGAAAAAACTCGCGATTTTCTCAAAATCCTTTCCGACGTTCACCGCTTACGAAATATGTTGCACACAACTGCTCGCTTGATAATGCTTCTTCTACGATGTTGCTTTATACTGTTGTTTGATCGGAATCACGTTGATTTTATCACTTCACATAGAAAGTTGTGTTGCTACAATCAAACATGCAAACATAGCGTGTCAAGGCTGACTTTAAATAATTTATTACGTTTTGCAAAATTAATGAAAGGTAGATAATGGCAAATCTGATAATCGGATAAATTCAGTACCTTAAACAGATTTTTTTTCTGACGATTAAACGATCGCGATTAGTATAAATCGATTCTATTACGTATTTAAAAGACAAATCATTTTCCCACATGACGTCATCTTATATGTGACTCTCAACAGTTTTAAGAGAAACAGATAAGTTAAGAATTAAAACGTACACTTAAAATTTACTGTTCAACCTTTATTTACAGAATCTCACGAAAACAACGAGGAGAAATGCCTAACCTAGAGCACGTACAAATAAATAATATGCAACAAAATATAAAAAGTTACCTATGTACAGAATGGAAAATTATTTGTTATCAACGTATCGTCGAATCGTGATTCGCGATTGTTCTATACCACAAAGTGAGTTCTTCTATCGAGCGCGGTGCCTTGATGAATTTGCGAGTGTAGAATATTTGTGACTATTCGACGGTGTACCGTCGTGTTAAAAATCTTGGAATAGAGCTAGCTGGTCCGGTGGCAAGGGCGGTTGGGAACGCCAGTCGGTTTCAGGATAATCGTCGAAGCAGCTTGCATCGCCGGGCGTTTTCACGCGTGGCCTTATCGGCGGTGTCAAGGCTCTTTGCGGCACCTACGGACATTGATCGATCGTTTAACCGCCGCTGCGTTCCCGACATATCACGAAACGTGAGGGCACGCATGCGGTGACACTTGTTAAATACTAATTTGTTAGCTTCCGTCATGTTTTATTTACACTGCACGTTTGCGTCACGTTACGTTTACGCGAAATATCAAGCAGACCAGATATGAAATTACCAGCGGCCATTCGACCAGCTTGAACCAACGGTGCCTCTTGACGTCCTCGGCGCCCTGCCTCATGTTTCCCAGTCTCTTCGTTCTGTCAGCGATCAACAACTTCTTGATCAGATCCTTGGCGATGGGATCCATGTGCTTCGGCCATTCTATCCTACCGCTCAGGATCTTCTCGTAGATCCCGAAAGGGTTGTCGTCGAAGAACGGCGGGTATCCCGCCAGCATCTCGTAAATTAAAACGCCTAACGCCCACCAGTCCACGGCTTTATTGTGTCCTTTACTTTGAATTATTTCCGGCGCCAAGTATTCTGGCGTGCCACACAAGGTCCACGTTCTAAAAATGCACGTGTTAATTATAGCCACGGTGTCACAATGTTTTATTATGACACGCCGTTAAGAAGTAACAGGTGAAGTTTAGCCGTAATATGTGCTAATTGCATGACATGCGCATCTTGATTTACGACAGATGGTCGGTATCAACGCAATTTAAGCTTTACAGAAATTAGTAAGGAATAAACAAAAATGACATTAGATTATAGCATTTTATTACGTAAACTCGTTAATTTTATTTTTACGTGCTCATTCCTTTCCGACGAGACGCTCTATTAATACGCAAAACTTCAATCCACTTATCTTCAATCGTCGTCAATTTATGTTCCATTTCTGAGTTATTCTCGTCCCCAAACGAGACTCACCTGTCCGTAAGTTTCTTGGAGAAGCCGAAATCGGTGATTTTGAGATGGCCCTGACTGTCGAGGAGAAGATTCTCCGGCTTGAGGTCCCGGTAAACTATATGTTTGCTGTGCAAATAATCCAGGGCGCAAACTATCTCGGCTGCGTAGAAGCAACTCGTGGGTCCGGCGAATCTCCCGGCCGCCCTCAAGTAAGAGAAGAGCTCACCGCCGGCGACGAATTCCAGCAGCATATAAACTCTGGCTTCGTCCCTGCCGCTCCACAGCCTGAAAAAGATCGATCGTCAGTCTGACAAGTCTGTCAGCTGACAAGCCGAGCTGTTACGCGAGCAGAGATCTCGATTTCGCTCCGCCGGACTGAAAAAGCGTTCTCCTCGCGTGCGCGAATCGATTTCTCTCGCCTCTATATATCCTGTTATTAATCATGACGTGGTGCAAACTAGTCGGACGGCGTTTGCGTGTATCTGCTTACGTCTTGGCCACGCTTTTGAATCGTCTCCGCGAGAATCCTTTCCTTGACCGACAAATGCAACACTTTCCTCATTCCCTTGGACGATTACATCGCGAACAAGCACGCTTGAAGTCATCGGGAACGGGGGAGGAAAGGGGGTAATTGCCGACCATCCTCAAGTAATGTTTTCTATTCAATATAATAACAGACGTAATACTTACATGTTGACAATGAATGGGTGTTTAACTTCCTTCAGAATTGTGATTTCATTGCGCAAGTGCTCGACCTGCTTCAGTCTGATCACATCGACCATGGAGAGGATTTTCAGAGCGAGAAATGTTCCATGATGCCTACAGAGAACCACCCTGCCGAAGGTGCCTGTACCTAAAAAAAAAATTGTATTTAAATTTAGATTAAATATTAATCTACTAAATACCAAAAGATTCTTACACGCTTTTCTGTTTAAAATTCTTGTAACTCGGACTCCAATCAAAATTTTTAGACCGTAATTAGTATTTAGGGATAAAATGAGTTGCTCTTTTGAAAAATCTAATCGGCGATAGGGTACAGGATATCTGGAAAAGATATAAAGATTGAAAGTAAAGGTAAAAAGAAATATAGGTGACACCTATATTTTTATTCTGACGAAAATTAAACTAATAAATTACACTAATGAATAATTTTGTCTATATTTTTTTAAACAAAATAAATCGATATAAGTATTATTTGATTTATAATAATTATAATATGTTAAATATTCTATTTAAGAAAGTAGAAAAAATCATTTATTAATCAAATATTTGTCAGTTAAAAGGCAGAACTTATAACTTATTCTTTTTTATCTCCACTTTCAATCTTTATATTTATTTACATCATTTTTTTTTCTAGATCGCACCCAACTAGATTTTCCAAAAGAGTAACTCGCTTTGTGCCTACAAATTTTGGAAATATATATAAGCAACAACTTTTATTACCACTGTATATTAACTGTAGTCTTAAAATTTTGATTAGGGCCCGAGTTATAAGGATTTAAAACAAAAAAACGTGTATTTTCCAAGGCTTAGGACCGGTTGTTCCACTTTCGGATAAATTATATAATACAATAATTTATCTAATAAATATGTGAATATTGGGCTAATAACATTGGCTGTTCAGGTATTTATCCATTAAGGTAAATTATCACATAGTTTATCGGAAGGTGAAACAATCCTTAATGAGCCTTTAATATAATGAGTCAATTGAAGTTTGGGATTTACATGCTCAACTTTAAAGATCCATCCATAAAATAGGTATTTTATATTATAATAATATCCATTTTCCCCAATATTTCGAATCAATTTCATTAAATCAAATTATTCTCGTATTTAATGAGATTTGACGATGGATTAAACTCGGTTCTCGGTCTGTCGATATTACAACTGAAATTCAACATGACACGAATTTCGCGAATAACGAGTGCGCTTATCGCAAAATATGCCGGTTCTATCAAACCGACCGCCATTGAAGTGAGCGTTAATTACCAACGCTTTCAACGTTCTTTTGATTCGATATGCATTGCGCAGCGCAATGCGGTCTATTTAATGCACTTTCCCACGAATGCAGGTGACTCGGTTGCTCCGGTTAACGTACCGTGACCAATTAGCGCGCATGCAATGAGCCTTGGCCAAATTAAACTGCGAAATTGGCCGTCACATTGCGGCGGCGGCGGCGGCGGCGGCCGCCGCCCGCGCTGCGAGATTTTGCATATCTCGTGGGCGCGTATACTTGTGTCGAAAGTGTACACACATCTCGCGCATGGATCAGTAGCGACGAAATTGGTCGCGCAACAAGGGCGGCGTGATACATGTGTGTCGCCTACCGGCGCGGCGAAGAGAGGAGATCCCGCCGCCAACGACGACTCGGAACAGGTGTCAACGGTAAAACGACGAAGCGCTTCCGGTGATGGCGTGGACGCTTTAAATACTCGCGCGACCAGCACGAATTTAGGTGAAGTCTGTCGCGCGGCAGTCTCGACCGAAGATTGTCCAAGCGCGATACACCGAAAGATTAGAAAACGCGTAAGAGAGGAAGATCTTGAAAATTTTCGCTGCACTGGTTCGCAGTTGCCCGAGCGCATCTGGGGCGAAAATTGTAAAAAAGAAAAAAAATAGAGAGTCTCGCGGGACGAGCACACCTGTAATTTTCCAAACCATTCTCTCACATAATTCTGACTTTAACGAGCAGTTAAATATATGCTGGGTACCCTCTTACTCTCTGGTGTCCCATTTCGAAAGCGGCGAATTTGATTTTCTCGCACGTAACTTTTTCCCAAATTTGTGAATCCAAAATATAAAAAATATGAAAATTATATTTTATCGTATAATGAATGTTCTCCTTTTTATCTAATCTTGGACAAATACATACGACGTTTACGAGTTTATCCCAGAATTTAACAACTTTCTAACAGTAATTTTATACACCATTAACGTATAAGAAATGTCTCTAACTGTAATTTTATATTTTTCGTAATTTTACAAGATAAATATATCAATCTTTTAAAAGACGTATTTATCTCTTTTTTGTATCATTATACGAATTTAATCTCTCTTTTTGTATCATGCCATTCATAAGCAAGATCTAAAATTTTCTATAAAACGAATATAAAATAACATTTTCGTAAAATTCAAATTCAAGGATTGCGTATCGATTTATTCCTAACACTTATAACAACCTGAAATATTACAGCTTGGTAAAAGTATTATATAATTAAAAAGAAAACTATAGGGAGAGACAGACAAAAAATTTAGTGTAAATTAGCGTAATCCCGTTCAGCTTTTTTCGGCTGGTATAATATTTCGAACTTACCAATCGTTTTGATGATTTCTAAATCGTCGACGTCGTATCGTGGCGGATCCTCCTGCGATCCTTCATCATCGGACGTGGTGTCCCCCGACATCGTTTACGCTGTACTGTCGAGCCGAGCGCGTCGCCAGAGAAAGTTTCTGATTTATTTCTCCCGGGCACCTCGACACGTGGAAAGAAGAAAGGAAGCTCTGGTTCAACGATCCACACCGCGATATTCTTAGACCCGAACGTACCGACGACGACTCGCTCCCATATCTTCGTGACTTTAACTTCGTAACGCGGCTTCCCAGAAACAACTTCGACGTCAGTCTTCGACGTAAAAATATGGTGATAAAGTATGGTGAGTTTAAATGAATAGGAGAACCACCCGGTACTTTGGATCGTTCTCGAGGACGATGGCGCGCGTTTCCCGAATTTCTCCTCGAATTTTCCCGAATTGGAAAAACACCTCGCGATCGGTGTTGCCTTCAAGGAAGTGTTCTCGTAACGTACTGCTCGAAAGTGAGTCGAGTACGAATGTCCCCCGTCCAACGACCCTCCTTCCCAATGGCTCTCGCTCGGAGCGGTGAAAATGTGTGCGTCGATTTCACAAGTGTCATTTAACCAGCGGCAAGTGCTTGCCGCGGTAAAACGCGCGTTCGAGCGTGAAAAAAAAAACCGAGTTCGCTCTCCGCGTTTTCACGCACGGCACACACTGCAGCGTTTTTTATCGTCGAATTTTATCGGCTCGCGGCTCTCCCGCGCTCCGATTAAATATCATTTCGGGGAGGGGGGAAAAAAAAGCGCGATCGCGAACGCGTCACGCGAACCGCGCGAATTCCCGCTCGAGGGATATACCGCGCGCGAGTGGTATTTGCAATCGGCACGGTAGCGGGTTCACCCGTTCACTTCGTATTTTCTAGATACGTGTTTTGCAACTTCGTTTTAACTGAGCTGTCATCCTTGGTTCTAAGTTCAACGCGTCTCTCACGGTACAATTCTAATTTTTTTCGATTTCATAATTCAGGAAAAACACATTATTTAACTCTGACATGCAACAGCGTGAACGGCGCGCGTGAGTGATCGCCGCGAGTTGTTAAACCGCTCGCTTCCCAGAAACGTCAGACTGCACTAACACCGATACGATCTCTGACGGCGAGCGCCGCGATCGACGGAGCACATCGCGCAGCAGAATTATTTCGTGTCATTCTTCCCATCGTGTTTCATCGAATAATCATCGAACCGGGCTCTCTCGAAAACGCTGACTGATGACTGGTTACCGTGTCATCCCTGGACCATGCGCAGCGCGGCAGTTCGGATGCCTACCAGAAACTAAACTGGTCACCGAGGGGTCTGAAAAGGCCTGTCTATCCTTCTGTTGCCCCCTCTCTTTCCTTTGACCCCCCATTCGCGCGACCACCTCGCGCGCTTACTCTCACTGAGCATCTCGTCTGTACCGTCTAGCCGGAGAGATTTTATAGGAAACCGCGATCGAAGAGAATCGTCGCGATACGGACGGCGGCGTCCCGAGATAGAATTAAGCGACTTACCGGAAAATCCATGGCCGATAAAAGCGAGCAAAGAGTAACAAAAATACTCGAATCTCGTCTGCTCTGAATTAGTTTTCAGGTTTCGTTTTGGCGAACGTGCGAGAGACGATTGCGTCAACCCCATAAATACGGGGGCTACTCACACGAAATTCGCCCGGGAGGAAAATCCTGAGATTAACCGCAACGCCACGCCGCTGCCCCCTCCGGATGAGTCTGACGAGTTTGCAGATCGATTTCGTGAATCATATACTGGACGATGACTATGCGCTTTAACATTTTCATTGGTACACTTATGTAGAGGGAAAAGATCGTTACATAAAGAAACAAACATGTCTGAAAGTCTCCTGTCAATGTGAAAGACATTCGCCGCAAGATATCAAAGTCCGTGGGAGCGGATATCCTCGTCGTCGCGGTGTTTCGTAAATTGACTATACGTTACTGCCGTTGCAAAACGATCAACGCGGACGGAGGCAAGCCCCGCTGACGATCGGGCGATTCCTTCGAATTTCGACTTATTTTTGAATTTGGCGATCGTCCAGATGCATTTTGCTACCGACGCCCGACGTCGCGATGACTGACGACACGTATCGAGTCCCGCTAACCCACGGGCGAGCCCCCATAAATCGCGGGCTTTTATATTTATCGCAAAGTGCTCCTCGATCTCGCGCGGGCGTGCTAAGAGCACGTTTGCTGATTTTATCAGCGGAAAAGAATCGTTACTTATCGGCGAGAGCAACGAGAGCCCCATCAGTGGACTCTGCGTTCCACTGATTCGTGATCCGGGAAATAAAATCTGCAGGATGCAAAGGCAGTAATTAAAAAATTATATCGTCATGAATCCGTGACTGTGTTCTTTCGTAATTGGATATTTGGCGTCCCCGCGTTTCGTGATCTTTAGCGTCTCAACATCTATTGCGAATATTGCGTAACGAGATAGATACAAACGTTGTATATAGCCAACAATAAGTGTTACATATTGCGTCAGCTTGCAAAATAAATTTATTGACGCGCACCTGTTTTATTCATTACGCGGCACGAGAATGGACCCCGGAGCGCTTGATGTTTAAACTGCAACTTCGCCTCTGCAGCTCAAACGAAAGTTTGTATGCGCGACAACGTTGCGTGATCTCGATATCGTTTGTCTCTCCCGGTATCCGTTCCGTAATACGCGGCTTGATTACCGACCAAACTAAAAATAATAATTTCCCGGAAATCCCGTCGTGCGATGTCATTCGATGCCAAGACAAGCCTTAATAATCACGTATACCAGCTTTGTGCGAGCGTATACTGAAATAGTTCGCGGTTATGAGGCAGCGATACGACGCACGGTATATTTTCGCGGATGGAATAAGCACCGCTTTTATGTGTACCGCATATTATGTAAAAGCCCCGTTCATCGATTACTCAATGGAACGCAACAAAGGGACTGCGAGGCCAATCGGCCACAACGTGTATGGTTTATCTACCGCAATGTTTAGTACGATGCCTTTTTATTAACTTATTTTTAGTGCGCATAACGAAAGGAAAAATACGTATACGATTTCCAATAACATATCGATGGAACGTACTATTAATAGCTAATATTTTGTAGTAAATTTAATGTAATATGTTAACGTAATGTAGTATATTACCTAGAGATAACTTTGAAAAAATATTAATAGAAAGCTTGAGGCTCGATTACAATTTTTTTTAGACTAGCACTATTAACATTTTGGATAGGGACGTTGGTGTTGAGCGATTGCCACAATATATCAGCTATAGTAACGGTATTTACAGTAACTCGAGAAACAAATGTGTCCACTTTCGCGAGATTGGACGCTTTTAGCGTCACTCTGCGGATGCGAATGAGCCATTGCAATCGATATATTTGTTACAAAGTTTTGATTTTGATCGTAAGTCAATGTTAGCTTTTGCGATGACGGTGGTCGAAGATTGATGGCACGTAGAACAATCGTGAACACCGCGTGCGTTATCCAAGAAAGATGGAGTTTGACTGTCGAGAAAGATAGGTCAATATTACGAAAAATATACATAAATTTCAATCCAAAATGACCAACTATCATAAGCGAAATTATTAGATTTTCATATAATTTGCCTCATCCTTCTAAATTTTCATTACGCTTTTTAAAAATGTATTATTTTTCTGTTACTTTATGGCTATATAAATTTTGTGATAATTGATTCTTCTTCATTTTTTTTTTAATAATTTTTTGTTCTCTTTGATCTATTTAATCGTGATTTTCAACGTACATTTCGCAAGTAATTCTCTTGGCGCAGAGTCCGTTTGTGTTTTCTCACTTTGTTTGGAACCGACAACGGTAAATTGCGACGTTGAATCGCCACCGCAAAAGTGTCCATATCAACTTTTCAAGGACACAGAGCCGAGGAAGTCATTGGTCAGCGTGACGTCAGCGTCGCCCACGGTCTCTGGATGTAGATCAAATTCGGTATACCTAGAAATCAAAAGACGAATAGACACATCGCTCTAGGATATGTTATCGTGAAGTCACCACTCGTTACCGTACCATTGTTAATCCGCCAATTATACTTGCCAAACATTTGCCTAAGCAGCCAGTCCAAATACTGTGGATGTGGCGTGTCCGCTGATGTGTCGTTGATTAATGTGCTCCATTAGATTTGGCGCCTTCGATCGCTTCATTATATTCATTCTTCGCGAAGCTACAGAACGGTTAAGACCGTGGAGACGAAGCTGTTCTTTAATAGTTGCGAGGCCGACGTTTTTCATAGCGTAACAATGATTAGCATGAGTCATCGACCTACCTTGTAATGGTGTGCAGGCTAGTCCTTTATTAACTGTTTCCACTGTGTGTGTGTGTGTTTGTGTGTGCGCTGTGTAACGTGGAAACATAGCAATAACGTAATGATTCGACCTCCCCCTAATCTCCGCTTCCGAGTTTTTTACCCAGAAGCACGACGGCTTTCAATGGCTCGGCTGAATAGCGATGATCTTTATTTTCTCACGATTAAAGAGACTTCTGTGGCGTAGCTGTAAAAGCCACAAAAGGATTTATCCGCGCCGTATTCGCCTAACGTTTTGTGTGTCCCCGGCCCCGCGTGCTGTGTATCTCCGCCGACGCTCTCTCGCGCGCGCGTCACGTCTCACGTGTGTGCGTGTGCCGCGATGATTGCCTGCACACACGACACCAGGCGAAAAATATACACGCGCGTGTGGCTAATCGGCGGTTCCCAGGGAGCACGAAGGTTTCAGCTCGGTATTTTCAGCGGCTGCGCTCCGCGAGCGCGATCCCACGGCGACTTCCGGTTCCGCGCGTCGACTTTATCCACTTCCCGTTGCTACGACAATTTTCCGCGGGTACCAAGCGGAGAAGCGCTAAAAAAAGAAAAAAAAAAGTAATAACGTTGTTATGCGCACGCACGGGTCACGGTTCGCTCCTCCATGCGAGAGGATTCAACGTTTCGAGAACTTTATCGTCCGCAGTTTAATTATGCACGCGGCCGCATTAATTATACCGGTGAAATCTTGCATCGTTATGAATTATGAATGAATGCAATCGCGAAATTTATTCACAATGAAAAAGAAAAAGGTGCGCACAATATCGGGTGAAAATATCTTAACAATTGTTTGTTTAAGCCGAGAGCTGCGTATTAGATCGGGAGGTACGCGCGAGGGCCTGCGTTGAGGAATTTAGCGCAGAAATGAGACGTTATACGTGCGGTGCTTTCCCTTCCACTCCGTTTAAATCATGCTCAACATGGCGCAGGTGCTTACCTGGGGAGTCAGGATGCAGCCAGGCCTGTCCGTTCGTTCGTCTGACCGTCGTGCAACTCAACCTGAAACCGGAAGCGCCGCTTTCTGCCCTGCTGCCCACGAACAATGAGATCGAGAGAGATTCCTGAGAGGACGTGAGCACGATCGAACTACGAGGTGTTTTATCAATGGGGGGAGATCGAAAATATTCATTTCTCCGGCTGAAAACCTACGAATTGAAACGTCACGTTCAGTTGTACAAGTTGTGCTGTATTTAGAACCGCGTTGCTATTCTCTCTCTCTCTCTCTCTCTCTCTCTCTTTTTCTCTCTCTCTTTCTGTATTGCTAAAAAACATATCAGAAGACTCGGAAAATCCGAATTTTTTTTGCCTTACGTTTTCAAATTAATTTTTTTATATCGTTATAATATGCATTATGAATGGAAAACAATTCCAACTCTAACATTTTAAAACTTTTTCTTCGCTTCATTTATAATTATTATAATTCTACAGGTGTAGCTGATAATAGGATAATTTTTCTAAAAATAGTTTATGTATAATATATCGATATTTTTCTATGTGCCATAAAGACGTACCATAACATCGTACAATGCGGCACGGAGACAATCGAGAAAATTTTTTCACGGCCACAACGAAGTCACGTGGTACGTGTACGTGCAGCAACAGGTGTGACGCAACAGGTAATCAAATGCCGGTATTACGATTTGCTCTTCGTCGAATCGATTGTCTTTCTGCACTTGCCTGCGCGATTCGAGATTACATCCCCTGCACATTATTTCTCGATGATCGTTTCGGTGAAGAATGCAATGAGCTTGGATAGCATTTACAGAACCAACGCTCGTATGTTTTTAGTCTCGCATAAGAACTTCAATATATCTCTTTATATAAAAAAGAAAATACGATATCAAAATTATAAGAAATGTCAACGAGATATTTGTTAAGTTACTATCGCGAACGACACGCAAATAGACAGGTGAGACAGAAAACAAATATTACCGCGCAAAAAATTCACGTTACGGCGCGCGCAACAGTTTGAAATGAGTTCCAAGCGAAATTTCATCGGATTCCCTTCTGATTTTGCCGATTCCGCATATAAGGCGCGAGCGGGGAATCTTTCACGGAGCTGTCGCCGCTTTTTCCGCAAGGTACCAGCGAGCGATGATGATGAA